GGGCCGAGCTGCGTCCTTAGCAAGGCGTCGCTTCTCATAGTCGGCGAAGATGAGGGGTGCAGAAGTCTGCAAATCTGTACTGGAGATCCACCGAGTGTCATCAGGCGCACATTGCTTGAATGTGACTTTGTATTGCCTTGGCTTGTTGCCATACTTGCGGTGCGTGATGACTCGGTCAACTTCCTGATGTCCGTCCATAGAAGGCGGATCCTGTGATCGACGTCCGGGGAACTTGTCAGCTGAAGGTGGCGTGTAGATGGCTAGCTTCGATGCGTGGAAGACCCGATGCACTGTTAGGTGCGGCGGACTGTTGATCACGAAGGAAGGACCTGCGGGGTCGTCTCCAACGGCAGAAGTGACTTCCCATGGTCCGAACCATTTCGGAAGGAGTTTGCGCGAAACATCCTGCTCGAGCGCAAATTCCTCGGAGAGGACCCAAACAHGGTCTCCCTCGCGGAAAGGACATGGAAGTCGACGTCGGTTAGCTTGCTGCTGCATGCGGATCTGAGCCTTTTGCATATTTGCGCGGGCTTTGATCAGCAAGTCCCGGTACTTCCGGATGGAAGCGGGAGAGCAAGGGACGTCTATGTCGGCAGCCTGTGGCAAAAGGAGATCAGCAAAGATCCATGCTTTCTCTCCACCATGCTGTAGCTCGAATGGTGTGACGCAGATCGCCGGGTGCACCGAAGTGTTGTAGGCGAACTCGATGTCGGGAAGCCGGTCAACCCAATCTTTCTGGTCGGGACGGATGAGCGTACGCAACATCATCTGAGCGGTCTGGTGCGCTCGCTCCGTCTGACCATCCGTCTGCGGGTGCCGAGCCGAGCTCGGCTTCATTGTCGTGCCGGACTCAGTCATGAGAGAAGTCCAAAAGACCGACATGAAGCGAGTATCTCGGTCGCTCACTATATCTTCTGGAACACCCTGGTTGGTAATCCAACCGGTGTGCAAGAGTCGTGCGAGCTCAGGTGCTGCAGCATGATACTTGCAAGGAAGGAAGCAAGCATACTTGCTCAATCGATCAACGACCGTGAGAATACCGTCATGGCCATGGCGATCGCGGGGAAACGGGCCTTTCACGTCCATAGCAATGGAGAGGCGTGGTGCCCGAGGGATTGGCAACGGTTTCAGTTCGCCGAAGGAGACTCGAAATCGACCCTTGTTACGGTGGCAAACTGCACATGACTCAATGTACCTCGTGATGTCGTGAAGGACGTCGGGCCAGTGAAAACGCTGGCGGAGGCGTGCTAGTGTGCGGTTCACGCCAAGGTGTGCCGAAAGTCGTGCGTCGTGGAATTCGCCGAGAAGACGAGTCCGTAAGATGCGATCTTGGGGCACAACCAACAAGTCCTTTCCTCTCGTGTGAAGGAGAAGGAACCCGTCAGAAATCCGATAGTGGCTCGCCGGCGGGTGATCCGATGAGAGCTCCTCGTACAATGTAGAGTAAGTCGGATCGGACTTGTAGCCTTTGACGAAATGCGGCTGCAGATTGTCATCAAGGTCGAATGCCGTGGTCACAATGGCGCAAAAGTTGGGCCGTCGTGAAAGGGCGTCCGCAGCTCGATTGGCAGGACCGGGAATGTGGCACGGGTCAAAATCGAACTGGTCGATGTAATACATCCATCGACCGATCGTGCTAGTGATCGTGTCTTGCGTTTTGTAAAAGGTCAACGGATTGTTGTCCGTATTCCATTTAAAACGCCGCCGGCCGAGAAGAAAGTGGCGCCACCGTTTGAGAACGGTGACGAACGCGGGTATCTCTTTCTTCCTAGCGTCGTCGAGAGTGTTGACGAGAGACACCTTTTGGGAGAAATACTCAACCGGATGCCAACCGTCCTCGTGACACTGTTCCAACACCGCACCAATACCGTATCCCGAAGCGTCCGTAGTCACTTGGGTGGGTAGGGTGGGGTCGTATATACGAAGGGCAGGTGCGGCTTGCATCGCTGCCTTCAACGTACTGAACGCGCCACGGGCTGCGTCGTC